CATTGGGGCAGTTCCCATTCCTCTCTACAGCCCTCCATGACATTGGGGCAGTTCCCATTCCTCTCTACAGCCCTCCATGACATTGGGGCAGTTCCTTTTTAATGCCCGGTCGTCTATATCAATCCACACCAACATCTGGTCATTCTGTCCTGTTCCACCTGATTCACATTGTGCCAACAATGATGATGTGAAATAATATGAATATTATTAATAAATAGGAAAGAAACGCTGTCTAGATCTGCCCAATATTCATGCATCTCTTGAGTCTGTAAGACACTAGATGGGGTATACTCTGAACACCTGACATGTTCTAGATCCAAAACATACTGCTCATGCACAAGCATGATCCTCAAAGGCTGCAGGTGATTTTGTAGCATTTGGAATTTGGGATTTAGGATGCCTTTCTATTAGATCTGCTCAACTGGTAAAGTCTATACAAATATTACAAAATGCCAAAAAAAATTTTTTTGAAACACTTCTAATCCCAAGCATTTCAGAAAAATGATACTTAACCTGTGTTGACTCAAGTATGAAAAATACTCTTTTGATTTATTGTGAACATGACAAAGACAAGAGGAAGACTTAAAAATCACTGAGGCACACAGTGTTATTTTGCTGAATTATTTTCTATCTTTGAATATTCATATCAGCCTTTAAATATCTGTCTGCTATTGGATGTACATCTCTAGGTCACTAGTAAAGTGGTTTTATCTCAAGGGAAGTGACAGAACATGAGGAGACACAGAAAAAGTCTTTTCTGCCACCGACGTGAGGTTTTCTCAGGGGTTAGAACACCAAACAACTATTCTCGCCCATATTTCCTCCAGCTAACTCACAGATGCTCTCTCCTGTCTCCATCTCCTTCCACACAGCGGCAATGTGGCCAATGGCTCCCGGTGCTGATGGTGGTGATTGCTACGGCACTGGCAGTGTTCCTGGCAAACAAAGACAGCCTGGTGATCTGAGTAACTTCTGGCATCTTTCTGGGGTAAAGTTCAGAAGGAAACAACTCCATAAAAAACTTGAGTTTGGGTACCTTACAACTTGGGTTCTCCCTCCAAGAAAATCCAGATTCCTAGTTTTAATTTTTTTCATCACACTGTAAATAAACTTTATCTCACAAGACTATTCTTCAGAACTGTCTATTCCTGAAAACCACAGCACAAGTATGACACTTAAACATCACAGTCTCATATCCTAATTCAATTAGAACTACATAAACATTCCAAGTACCCAGTCCTTCTCCTTTCCCCTAAGGCACCGTCCAAGGGTACATTGCTTAGTCTCCACACAGCTCCTTCTCCCACTCTCTTTTCTTCTGTTTCTTATTCAATGACAGACAAACAGACACCTCTGCTAAATACGTGGGAACTCCTAATATAGAAACGGAAAACATGCCACGGCTGACAACAACTATCCCCATTCACACATGTGGTCTAGTGACTGAACACTTAGGAGGATGCTAATCTTCCACCCAGAGGTGAGCATTCACTGATACCTTCTCAACCAGCAGAGTTCAGTCAGAGGGCCACAGCAGGCAGTGTGACTATCTCAGAGGAGATGCTGAGGGCACCAAAGTCACTCTGAGTCCTAAATCGGGTTCTGAGTTCCTTCTCCCAGGTGCTTAGAAAGTTCCTCAGGGCTGGGAACAAACTCTCTGGAACACTAAAGGAGTAGAGCAGAATTGGAGGTTGACCAGGCAGCCATGAAACCTGAACAGTGAACACCCGCAAGGGGGTCATAGCTAAGCAGTTGCCACCTCCATGGTTCAGGTGAAATGTGTAAGAGACAGGATAGCCCAGGAGTATCCCAAATACAGTGCAGAGATTCCAATCTGAGGAATGCAGCTTGCTGTAGGAGACTCCCAGAGACCCATCCTTCTGCAGTCCTTGAAAATGTGTGATGATCTCAGCGATGAGAGATTTCAAATCCTGGAGCTGGTCCAAAGAACAGACAGAAGGATGGGGCTGTGAGCAGGAAACATCCACTAAAGCTGTGGTACCCAGCAGTACCTGCTCCAAATGCTGACAGGCATGCTCAGGACTGACAATGAGGTTGTTCTCTCCAATCTCAAGAATGTGAAGTCCCAGGGTCAGGAAGCCCAGCCCCTGCAGCGCCTCCAGGTAGCTCTGGAGCGCCAATACTCCAGCAGAATTGCAATCATAGAGAACCGCTGGCTTCAGCCCGCGGGCCACAGCCAGCACCTCTCCGGCTAGGTGAAGACAGACAGCTCTCGGTGGGCTCTTTCTCTTTCCCGTGCCCAGGGTCTCCTGAGCAGCTGCCACCAGCAGCTGAGGGCGTGGTGTGGACATGAGTTCTGGAAGTGGATCTGGAAGTTACATGAAGCATGGCCTTAGCTAGCCACGGTTCAGGTTCCACCACTTGAGGGAGAGCCTAGAAACAATGTGAGGGGGAGTCATTAACAGTCAAGATACCAGTGCTACACCCCATTTCTCTGGCAGACTTAAGTTTCCCGAAGCCATGCTTCTGGCTTCTAGCCACATTTATATTGTCTCTGGCTTCGATTCTAACTTTTACCTGGTGCAGTTTATGCTCTGGGATTCAAACCTTAATGCGTCTGGCACAGTCTCTGGTAAAAGTTTCCGCCATTTCTCCCCAAACTGCCCTTCTGGGACAGAGCTCTGAGCTCCGAACCTAAGCTTTCCACTGCCAACTCCCCTTTCTCCCACTAAGAAGAGTTCCCTCAGCAGCCTGAGAAAGAATGCGGAGTAACCATCGCCTCACCCTTAGACACACGGGAAGTGAGAGCAGCTACAGGTGGGGCAGGGCCACATTTTATCACTGCTGGGCCCGCCTTCCCTTCCGGGAAGACCCGTTCCCTCCACCACACGTACCCACGCGTGAGATTATTAGGGACTAGTTACATAAGGTAGCGCTCTGACTCAAGACACTGGGCTTGCATTTCCGCTGCAGGTTCGGGGACGCAGGAACTCATTCCGGCCCCCTGCCAGCGGCCAGGAAGGCAACTGACTGTCCCGTGCCCCACACAAAACTGCGAAAACCCCACGGTTATGAACAAGGAGCCCCGGGAAAGAGAGCCTGACGCACATGCGCACCGCCATACTCGGTCCTTCCGTGACGTCATTCAGAGCGCGTACGCAAGCCGGAACCATCGACGAGGCCATGAACGGGATGGGAAGTACAGCCACCCTAGACCCACCCCTTCCGGTAGAACAGAAGCCCGCTAGCCGGCCGGGCGGAAGTGGAAGGTAGTATCCGGAACCTGCTGCTGTCACTCCGCGGTGCAGCGGGGACACCGCTTCTGTGGGTAGCTCTATAAAGTTGTTTTTGTTTTGTTTTGTTTTGTTTTTCAAATGTCCCTAAATCCTGGACGTGAAAGGTTGAGTGCCGAGACCGTGAATATTCACTCCTTTTTAAAAAATGTCTTGTGTAGACGCGTGCTACAGCGCAGCGTCAGTTCTCGCTTTCACCTATAAGTGGGTTGGGGGATTGAACTCAGGAAACCAGCCGGCTTAGCGAGTGCTATTAACTGCGGAGCCAGTTCACTAGCCCAGTATTTTATTATATTATTTTACTTTGACAGCGTTTTGTGTAGCTGGGCTGACCTGGAACGAGACTTCTCTCTGGTTTATGCCGTGCTGGGGACTGAGCTCTGGACTTTATACTAGACAAACACTAACGGAGCTACCTCTGCAGCCTTGGGTATTCACTCTCAGTGTGCCTAGGCGGGAGAGGTATTGCATTGTACAAAACAGCAACCCTATCTCATGGACCTCAAGGCCCGAGAGTCCAGTTTGCTGATCATTTTATTAAGAGATTTATCTTTATTTTCATTTATATGTTCGTATGTGCGGGTGCCTAGGAAGCCAAAGAAGGGAGCAGGATCTCCCGGAGCTGAAGTTAAAAGTGTTGTGAGCTGCACAACATGGGTTCTGGGAACTGAATTCAAATCTTTGGAAGAAAAGCAAACACTCCTACCCGCTGAGTCATCTCTATACCTGCACTGTTGTGCCTTTTCGAGACAGTGTCTTGCTATTGCCCTCAAACTTCTGACAGTCTTCCTGCCTCAGCCTTCAGAGTGCAGCGGTTAGTCTTTCCACCACATTAGGGTTCAAATAAGAAATGAAGATCTGGAGGACACGTGGATCAGATGGTGGTGTACCTATCCGTGGAGCCAAAGTGCCACCATTTTCATGAGTTCAGCTGTGTGGTCTTGTAAAATCATTGCAACTAGGCTTAACTGTTGACATTCCCATACAGAAAGAGGGTCTTGGGACCCTCACTGGAGTATCTAACCACTCTTCCCAGCCAGTTGTGTGTGATTCTGCCCTATCTGAATGTTGCCTTAAGGAGGAATTTAGGCTGGGAAAAAACTAGGGAGGGGAATGTCATCTAGGAAGCCATAGAAGAGTTAACATCCATACTAGATGCAGAACTTCCATCGAGACTGCGTTTTGTTTTGTTTTGTTTTTGTTTTGTTTTGTTTTGTTTTGTTTTTCAAGACAGGTTTTCTCTATATAACAGCTCCAGCTGTCCTGGATCTCACTCTGTAGACCAGGCTGGCCTCGAACTCACTAAGATCCACCTGCCTCCGCCTCCTGAGTGTTGGGATTAAAGGCCTGCACCCAGCTTGGCTGCTTTAGGCCACCCACACTCCTGCACATAACCCCTCACCTGTAAGTAAGCCTAATAGACTCACTGGTTCCCCAGATTGACTTTGGCGGAAATGTAGCCCCATTTGTCACTGGGACCTTAAGGGAAGTAGCTGTTGCCTTTCCCCTTATCCCAGAGAAACAGATAATTAGGAAGGACAAATACTAACATAAAAAACTAAAACCTTTTAAACTACCAGCAATTTAACCTCTATCTCTGTGAAGGGAAATCTTTGGTTTCTCTGTGTAGCTTTAGTGCCTGTCCTGGATCTCGCTCTGTAGACCAGGCTGGCCTGGAACCCACAGAGATCCGCCTGCTTCTGCCTCCCGAGTGCTGGGATTAAAGGTGTGCAATACCACTCCCGGTTTGAAGGGAAATCTTAAGAAAACTCTAGCCTGGAAAAAATAGTTCCCATTTGTGAGCAGCAGAAAGCAGACCTGGCCTGGAGGTTGGCTTTACCTCGCTGGTACCTTCAGATGGAAAAGGACCAACAGCACCTAGGGAAGAACAGTTGCAGGGCCTGCCAATCCAACTTAGGTTCTTAGCTCAGAGGGAATCAGATACTCAAAATTGATACAACCAGTACTCTAGCTTTATATTTTTCCCTTTCCAAATTTATTTTATATCCCCACGGTAGTTAGCAATAAATCTCCAAATTAAAAGACTTAGTTCATTTATTACAGAACAAATATCTGAGAACACACCGTATCAGACACTGCTGGAGACCTGAGAGTAAATCCAAGACAAACAGTCATGTAGGATGCAGATGGTGAGGAGTTTACACAGAACACAGTTACTCTGAAAGTTTAAGATGCTATGCAAACAACCAGGGACTTAATTATGGGGAAGAGACCAGATTTGACATTTGCCCTCCCAGTTTACCTGCAGTGGGTTCTTTTTAACTTTGAGTTAATCTAGAGTGCACACTGAGGAAAAGGAGGAGCTAGGGAAAATCCTCCTCCCTTCTGAGTCTTCAGAGGAGAGCAAGGGAGAAGACAGCTAGCGAGTGAATGGAAGAGACAGGAAACTGAGCCCTAAGAAAGGATACCTGGTGTGTATTAAAACCATCGAAAGCTTACTGAAGATGATCAGAGATGCCTGCATGTCATGTACTCTCCCAGCATTCTGAAAAAGATGCAAGACAAGGAAGGTAAGCCCAAGTAAGTAAGCCTCACTGTCACCCAAGATTGGGTTGAGCTTTTAGACTCTAAATCCATCCCAACTTTCAGTGCCTTGAAAAGTAGAAGGTGTTGTTCTTAGTGTAAGGGCAGCAGACTATGCACACGGGCGTAGGCCCTGTTACATGAAACAAATAGACATCAATATTCAAAAGGATTGGGGCCTATAACCAGAGATACACATCTGAGTCTTGGAATTCAAACTATAAGAAGGGACTGGGGCAGATACTCTGTAAGACACAGTGCAGTGCTCTACACTGCTCGTCTCCATTGCTCACAGCAAGACATATAAGCAGGTTTGAGCCTTTCCCAGAA